GGGCCTCCAGCTCTTGGTCTCAGCTCTGGTCGTGATGTCTCAGTTCGTGGGTCCTGGCCCTGCCTCAGGCTCTGAGCTACCGGGTAGACGCTGCTTGGGATTCTCTTTCCCGGTCTCTGTCCCTCCCCCCACTTGCTCTCTCTCAACATAAATAAACTTAAGAAAAATTTGGAAAAGAAAAAAAAAGGAGCTTGGATGCATCCCGTGCCCGCCCTCCCCAGGAGGTCAACGATCCTGCCAAGAACGACATGATGGAGAAGGTGGAGGAGACCACTATGCAGGGTCTCAAGGAGCTGGGGGCCTTTGGTCTGCAAGTGCCCAGCGAACTGGGCGGCGTGGGCCTCTGTAACACCCAGGTGAGGGGGGTCCCCTCAGTCACTCCCAGCATCCCAGTCTACCCCAGCTTTGCCGTGATTAAGTTCCTTGCTCACCTGTCCCAAGGCTCAGGTCCACCAAATACCTGCCCGTGTTGACCCTCCCAGGATGCACATACCTGTCCCAAACAAATCACCAAACTGGACACAGTCCCTTAGGGCTGTGGACTTCTCCCAGGCTCACAAGTCCTAATGGCAGAGACTGACAATAGGTTAGGAAGCCTCTCTCCCAAGAGCTGGGGAGACACCCGTGTCCCTCTCTATCACGGTGACATTTTGGCTCTCTAGTCACAGTGTGGGCTGCCCAGGTCAGGCCCTGCCTGTGGCCCACACTTCCCTGCTACGGCCCCATGCAGCCAGTAATAGCCCCGGATGCCTGCTTTTCCCCGCAGTACGCCCGCTTAGTGGAGATCGTGGGCACTCATGACCTTGGCGTGGGCATCACCCTGGGGGCTCATCAGAGCATCGGATTCAAAGGCATCCTGCTCTTTGGCACAAAGGCTCAGAAAGAAAAGTACCTCCCCAAACTGGCATCTGGTGAGGCAGCCCCGAGAGACCCAGGGACTGGGGGCATCCTGGGCCAGTGGTACTAAGGTCACCACACAGCTGGGTGGGTCAGTTGGGCAAGATTCTGGGAAGGGATCGGTGTGCTGGTCGGGAAATGTGAAGAAGGTGAACGGGATGCCAGAGATGTTAAGGAGTTGCCTGTGTGTGTGTGTGTGTGTGTGTGTGTGTTGGGGAGGGAAAGGTGCAGTGAGGGGCCTCTGATGCCCATCAGGACCCCGTTTAAAGGCACTGTCTACCTCCAGGGGAGACCATAGCTGCTTTCTGTCTAACCGAGCCCTCCAGTGGGTCGGATGCAGCCTCCATCCGAAGTTCGGCTGTGCCCAGCCCCTGTGGAAAATATTACACCCTCAATGGAAGCAAGATTTGGATCAGGCAATCTTCCCGTTTCTTTCCTCCTGTCCACCTCCACCCAACTCCCGGCCCCCACTGTTCTGTCCTGTCCTCCGCACCCTGACTGGCCCTCCTTTGTCCACAGTAACGGGGGCCTGGCAGATATCTTCACGGTCTTTGCCAAGACACCAGTTACAGATGCAGCCACGGGGACTGTGAAAGAGAAGATCACAGCTTTTGTGGTGGAAAGGAGCTTTGGAGGTGTTACCCAGTGAGTGGGTTTGGGGAGGAAGGAAAAGGTCAGGCCAGGTTTGGGGGCAGCACAGAGCAGACGGCATCACAGGTCACCCCGGGGACGTGTGCAAAACCCAAAGAGCTAGATGGCATGTTCTCTTTGGGACCAATCTGCACAGAACCAACATAAAGGTCCGGCTCCCGCAACCAGCGAGCCCAGCATCCGGTGGGCTACACAGCCAGGCATCCTTCCCCTCCGGGCAGGCAGGGACAGTTGCCCGCACCCTCCCACGCCCTTTCCTGGCCGATGTAATTCCTCCTTGGCTGGCAACAAATGCCCCCACCCCCCACCCCCGCGACCTGTTGAGCACACCTCTGCTTCTCCACTCCACCCTGCCACAGCGGGCCCCCGGAGAAGAAGATGGGCATCAAGGCCTCGAACACGGCAGAGGTGTACTTTGATGGAGTACGGGTGCCGGCAGAAAACGTGCTGGGCGAGGTAGGGGGTGGCTTCAAGGTCGCCATGCACATTCTCAACAACGGAAGGTTCGGCATGGCCGCGGCCCTTGCAGGCACCATGAAGGGCATCATCGCTAAGGCGGTGAGTACCATGCCTGGACAGAAGTCACACGGTCCCCCTTCCCATGTGGCCCTGTCCCCTTGAGGGTATCCCGTCCCCCCAGAAACCCCTCCCATGCTGGCAGCTCCCAGGCCTGATGGCTCAGGTCTGTGTCCAGCCCAGCCCCTCTGCCGGCGGGGGGGGGGGGGCGGGGAGCGGGGGCACTGGGTTAACCACAGTGGGGCCCGTGTGCCTTCTTCCAGGTGGATCATGCTACGAATCGCACCCAGTTTGGGGATAAAATTCACAACTTTGGGCTGATCCAGGAGAAGCTGGCCCGGATGGCTATACTGCACTACGTGACTGAGGTGAGAGTCTTCCCGCGCCGCGCTCCCCAGAGCCCCGGGGCCTTCTTCCCCGTCGTCCGGACCACGACCCCCAGCAGCACCTGGGGCAGTGGGTCTCCAGCTTCACACCAATGCCCTAGGGGATGCGGGGAGGCGTAGTCAGCTCAGTCGCTGCACGAGGGGGAGAGCCGTGCCGTTCGGAGATGCTTCCGGAAGTAGCTGAAGTTTATTCCGCCTGCACCCCCGCCCCTACCTCTTCACCCCCTTCAAAGAAGTCAGATGCCCAGAAGCCCCCAATGAACTGACTCGGGGGACCCAGTGTTTCACCGTGCCTGATGGGTGGAGCTAGAAGGTGAAGGCCAGGGCCACGAGGAGCTAGGGCAGACGCAGGTGGTCGGGTCGAGTCTGACGCGCTGCTTTTCCTTTCCGTGTCCCCACCCTGCAACCTCAGTCCATGGCTTACATGGTGAGTGCCAACATGGACCAGGGATCCACGGACTTCCAGATAGAAGCCGCCATCAGTAAGATCTTTGGCTCGGTGAGGTCCCAGGCCCACAGGGCGGGAGAACCCAGCGTGGGAGCTTGGCTCCAAGACCAGTCTTACAGGGCTCTCTGTTCCCAGGAGGCAGCCTGGAAGGTGACCGACGAGTGCATCCAGATCATGGGCGGCATGGGCTTCATGATGGTACAGGCTGGCTCCGTGCCCCGGTTGGCCACGGCTGGGAAGGGGGGGAGGGGCAGGTGGGTGCACCTCGGCAGGGGCGTACGTTCTGCCTTCCTGTGGCAGGAGCCTGGGGTGGAGCGCATTCTCCGAGATCTTCGCATCTTCCGGATCTTCGAAGGGACGAACGACATTCTCCGACTGTTTGTGGCTCTGCAGGGTTTTTTGTTACGGGGCAAGGGGGGGGGGGGGGAGGGGTGGGAGTGGGGAGAAGAGCATGTCCTGAGCACTAGGCCCTCTCCCCACACAGGACAAAGGAAAGGAACTCTCTGGACTCGGCAATGCCCTGAAGAATCCTTTTGGGAACGCCGGCCTTCTCTTAGGCGAGGCGGGCAAGCAGCTGAGGAGGTCAGCTCAGAGCCGGGGTGGGGCTGGTAGGGGCACGGGGCGGCCACTAACCCGTCACTCTCCCCGTCCTCTCAGGCGGGCAGGGCTGGGCAGTGGCCTGAGTCTCAGCGGCGTCATCCACCAGGAGCTGAGCCGCAGCGGGGAGCTGGTGAGTAGTCGGGCGGGCCTGAAGGAGGCGGCGGAGGGCCCGTGCGGCTGGGCTCCCTCCCCCAGCCCCTCTCCTCTCGGGGCAGGTGGTGCAGGCCTTGGAGCAGTTCGCCGCCGTGGTGGAGGCCAAGCTGATAAAACACAAGAAGGGGATTGTCAGTGAGTGAGATCTACCCCCCCGCCCCCCCCCCCCCCCCCCGCCCCCTCCCCCTGCGGCTGACACCCCCCCCCCGCCGTCCCACGTACCCGACAGATGAACAGTTTGTGCTGCAGCGTCTGGCAGACAGTGCCATTGACCTCTACACCATGGTGGTAGTGCTGTCCAGGTGAGGGGGTGGCGTGGGAGGCCTGAGCCGCAGGGGTCCCGGGTCGGGGCTCCCAGCCCAGCTGTGTGGTCTCTTCTTGCCGTGCACCAGGGCCTCGAGATCCCTGAGCGAGGGCCACCCTACAGCCCAGCACGAGAAGATGCTCTGCGACAGCTGGTGTATCGAGGTGAGGCTCGGGGTTACCGAGGGCGCGCGGGGGGGGCCAGAGGCGCAGGCCTGGACCTCTCCTGCCCTCTTCCCCAGGCGGCCGCGCGGGTCCGGGAGACCATGACCGCTCTGCAGTCTGACCCGCAGCAACAGGAGCTCTTCCGGAACTTCAAAAGCATCTCCACGGCCTTGGTGGAGCGAGGCGGTGTGGTCACCAGCAACCCCCTCGGCTTCTGAGGACTCCCCGCCACCTGCCCGCCGGCCCCCCCCCCCCCGTGCCTTCTCCCAAGCCAAAGCCCAGCCCCCTCGTTCTGCCTTAAGGAGGGCCTGGCCCCCAGGCGGCGGCTGCTCTCGGAGGCCCACTGCCTGCCTCACAAGTAAAGGTTCTCGCCAGCCGTGCCTCGCTGCTGCCTCAGTTCTCTCCCTCACTGCCTGCCTCCCTCCCAAAGAAAGGAGCCAGAGGCGTGCGCAGTTGGCCTCTATTGCTTTATTTGGTGTCTTAGACAGGTGACTAAATAAATAGAGTAACAAAAGCAGCTACACGGGCCCCCGAGACCGAACACCCCACCTTCCTTTGCTGTCTAGGGTGCCCAGCCCTTCCTCCTCCCAGGGTACCGCTGACCACCGCTACCCTGCACAGGACAGAGTTGGACGGACAGAGGAGGAGGTCACATTTCAGGGTTGGGAAGGGCCCAGGAGATAGAGATTCTTCGTATAAAAAGAGAAACATCTAAAAAAATAGTCCGAGAAATGTACGAAAGTCTACTTCAACCCCCCCCCCC